CAGGTGAATTATTCCTGTTAATAGTTGATGTGCATTCCAAGGTCTCTGCTTTGTACATGTTTGTTGCATGGTGTCATCACTGCTTTATATGCTTGTCTACTGATTGTTGATCTAAAATGGAAAATGTTTATTAACACAAACAATAGTTGCAATTCCATTCATTGTTTCTGCGTTTTCATCTGTTATTCCCTTGATACCAATGTCACGTTTTCTTTGAGTAATGCAGTGTTTGAAATTAAGCATGAAAGTTAATGGGACCCCATCATAACCCTATTTGGGTTTACGTTTAGGGTTCTTGATTCAAATTCTCAAGAGCAAACCTGGAGGACCCCGTGATTACCTTAATTTCAAACACTGGTCATGTGTTAGAGGTTTGTATATATATGTTCCGGAGAAGTCAAGTACTTGACATCCATACTAATATTAGTAGCACAGTGTTTGTCACAGACCAGTGGAGTTTATGCAGATGTCCTGGGGGAAAATAGGTAGTGATGCAGTGTTGAATTACCGTATTCAACGTAAGGGCGCCCAGGGCGCTCTCAAAATTAGAAATAGGGGGCTCTTATTAGAATATTATTTTGGTGGAAAAAACAGAGTTGAAAGATAAATTTTATGGTTTATGCTGACGGCCTGACTGTTTATATACGACAGATATATTTTTCCAGAATTTAATTGCCCATGATTAAGAGTGCATATAACATACGAGTGCGTATTATACACGAATAAATAGGTATTGTGTACATTGATCAATCGAAAGGGGTGCTAATTGGGATATATTAGCAAATATCACTGTGGGCGCTTATTAGAGCGGGGCGCTTATTACGTCGAATACGGTAGGTCTAGAGGCGATCTCAGGACTCATTAGCTCTAGGGTTTCACAGTGCCAGCTCAGGGATGCAAATTAACAATAGCACGCCAGCCCTAGTCACTTTGTTTCTTGTTCAAGGTACCCTGAGGGCTAGTAGAATTTCAGGCTTTTTAAATTGTCTTAATGTATTATCACTGTTGGGGCCAGTGAATGTCCATGCAGTTTTACTTCAGGAAATCTCAGAAAACTACATGTGCAAGTTTGCAAATAATCAAACTGACACACCATGATGTAATTTAAGTGCTGTACAATAGGGTTCTAATGCCAATCCAGTTATGATGCCATGTTTTTCTTGGTGTTGATTTCAGCGCTATCAAATTACCTTTTTATAATTTCAACCTGGTTATGATGCCATGTTTTTTCTTGAAACAGATTTCTGCCCTATCAAATTACCTTTTAATAATGCCATGTTTTTCTTGAAACAGATTTCCGCACAATCAGTTACGTAGCGGGGAATGTCCAAGTAACTCTCCATTCCTTAAATATAATGGAGCAGAGGCCCATTAATTTTAAGAAATGGCGAGTTACGAAGATATTCCCCAACTTAAAACTCATCCCTACTTTTACACTTTGATAAAATATTATGTTGTGGAAAATTTTTGAAAAATAAACCAGAACTCTTTGTTGACTGTATTTATACTGCGTGAGTCGCCCTTGCGTGATGCACAAGGAATGCGTTATCTGCCGCTATCGCATGTGCACCAAGCTCCATTGCGAGCTACCATTTACAATGCATGGTACACGGCTCTTCATAATTTTCTGTGTCCTAAACTAGTATTTATCAAATGCTTGCATATCGTCAATACATGCTGACAGGAATAATAAGAAATATAGAGCCCCGAACAAAGATATATATATATTACCTGATTTGTATTTCTCGTCAAAGGTTTATCTACCGGTAATTGCTATAAATATGAACATTGTTGTAGGTAACCTGCTCTAGCACAATATTATATACATATCATTTTGAGCTTTTAAACGTTATGCAAAATTATGAAAATATTTAATAGTTAAATTCACACTTTTCCTTCATGTACCGCCATAGCTGAGGTTGACAATTACACTTTCACTAATCAAACGATGCAGGTTCAAAACCCGCTGGCGACACATGTTTTCGGAAAGAAATTGAAATTATTTACTTGTCAATAAATGTAAAAATAGTTATGTCTGTTCCAAGTGGAAATTTTTAATCAAATGTTGGTTCAAGATAATGTATAGTTGACAAACTCTCCATTCCTGAAAAGTAATGGAGCATTCAAACAATAGACTGACATCACAGATGTGTTTTAACTTTTATTAAAACACATCTGTGACATCAGTCTATTGTTTGAATGTTCCATTATTTTTTCAGGAATCGAGAGTTGTTTGTCAACAATATTATACTTTATCTTGAACCAACATTTGAATTCATTTCCGCTTGGAATAGACGTAACTTTTTTTTACATTTATTGACCCGTGAATGATTTCATAATTTTTCCGAAAACGTGTCGCAAGCGGGGTTCGAACCCGCATTGTTTGATTTGAGAACGTGTAATTGTCAACCTCCGCTACGGCGGCACATGAAGGGATGTTGTGAAATTAACTATTAAATATTTTTATAATTTTGCATTATGCTCTAAAGCTCAAAGTGATATGTATATAATATTGTGTTAGAGCAGGTTACCTACAACATTGTTCATATTTATAGCAATTAGATAAGCCTTTGACGAGAAAAAACAAATCAGGTAACATATATATCCTTGTTCGGGGCTCTATATTTACTATTATTCCCGTCAGCATGTATTGACAATGTGCAAGCGATTAATAAGTACTAGTTTAGGACCCAACGACATTATGAAGAGACGTGAACCATGCATTGTAAATGTCAGCTCGCGACAGAGCTTGGGGCATGTGCAACAGCGCAGAGAACGCATTCCTCGTGCATAACGCAAGGGCGACTCACGCAGTAATAATACAGACATCAAAGAGTTCTGGTTTATTTTTCAATATTTTCCACAACATAATATTTTGTCAAAGTGTAAAAGTAGGGATGAGATTTAAGCAGGGGAATATCCTATTCCCCATTCCTTAAAAATAATGGGGCCTCTTATATATTAATGTTTGCAGTATGCTTCTTTTATACAGACATGGAATTGCATGTGAGATAGAAATTGAATAATGCATGACTGTATTAAGTGAGAATTCTTAACAATTTCACAAATGGTGCTGTATGCCTAATGTGCTGATCTCATATTACACCTGCATATCAGGGACTTAACAGACTTCGTTGGCCGTGGCTAGTTCTAATTTCCAGATTGTTTTAACATTACAAGGGCATTTTTTCTTCTCTGGGGTTAGAACAGCTTTTGAGTCCAGCTCTAAGCCTGAGTTTTCTATAGACTATTGGGGATATGAGGGGAATTAGTATTACAGCAGTGTTGACGTTCTTGCATTATTTGCATTATCGCAGTGTTCAAAATTAAGCATGAAATTCAAGGGGTTCTTGAAATAACCCAAATGTTAAACGATACATTTAGGGGCCTCTAGATTCAAATACAAATCGGGGGCACGGGTGGCCTAGTCGTCAAAGGCGCTGCGGTTCGCTGTGCAGAGTTGCGTCCCTTGGGCAAACCGGAAACTTTTGATTGTGGGTTCAAATTCCGGTTCGCCCCTATTATGTTTTAGGTTTGTCAGCACCATACCCGTGCTCGTGGGTTTCACCGCAGTGGTAAACGTCTGAGACCTGCCTCACTTTGGGCTTTCCTCCCACATTAAGCAGACGCCGCGATATAACTGGAACACTGTTAAAAGCCGCGTTAAACCCAACTCACTCACTCACTCATTCACTCACTCACTCACTCACTCACTCACTCACTCACTCACTCACTCAAATACACACCTCATGAACAAGACCCCGTTAATTTTAGACCTTGCATCACATTCTGAGCTATGGTGTGTGTTGTAAGGAAATATTGTATGTGATGGCACCGCTTTGTGAATACACTACAGTCTTTGGTGCAGTGTATGATTTGTTTTTAAACCATCAGTATTCAGGATGTAGCAGCCTGTATAGTATGTGTACATCACAATATGATGGAGAGGCAGATGGTACTGTGTGATGTGCGTAGCATATATGAACATTCCTAATTACTCGTTTCCCTGGCAACATGGCATTATCCACAGTGTTGTAACTGAGTTCCAAATTAATGACACTGTTTCTGAACTTTTATGCCAAGAGATAACTAAACATTATTACTATTCTGCAGAGGGACTACTACACAATATTAATATTCTGCAAAGGGACTACTAGACAATATTTCTATTTTGCAGAGATACTACTAAACAATAACACTATTCTGCAGAGGGACTACTAAACAAAATGAATATTCTGAAGATATACTACTAAACAATATGAATATTCTGCAGAGATACTACTAATCAAAATGAATATTCTGCAGAGATACCAGAGGGACTACTAGACAATATCACTATTCTGCAGAGATACTACAAAATAATATGAATATTCTGCTGATGGACTACTAGACAATATTACTATTCTGCAGAGAAACAACTGAACAATATTGCTATTCTGCAGAGGGACTACTTAACAAAATCAATAATCTGCAGATGGACTACCAGACAATATTACTATTCTGCAGAGACTAACTAGAGACAGGATATATTTAACTGATCTCGCAAACTCACTGCAAGATGCCTTATGAAATGTGTTCTTTAATGGAAAGAACATGTGTGATTTATAGCAAACACTCTTCACTCAATATTTAGAGTGATGACACAAATCTATTAAGTTAGTCTTTTCCACTAATTCTGAAATCTGAGCAAGCATACATTGTACCCTAAATTTGTGTCATTATTTTCACGAACATTAGATTCAGTAGATTTTAACATATATACAATATTTACTCTAACACGCTTGGCAGTAATGTGTAAGCAGACTTCTGTAGGGGAAGATGTCGAGCATTCTGGTAAAGGTGGGGATGGGGCTACTTCTGTGTGTGCATGTAACACAAGTGCCTGTCTTCTTTTTATAGAATCGGACCTCTGACAATATTGCACCGATTTGAATATGACACAGTAATCTATCAATAGCACTGTGAAACTACAAATTAACCCAAACTGTTACATGTTACAGATGAGTACAGCCCATCCCATGGAAGTCCAGATTCAGAAGATGATCGCCCAAAGAAGGAGAAGAAACTGCCATCGGAATCTGAGTCCAAGAGCTTCCTCGGTGCAGGGAACTTGAAGGCGGCCTTGTCAAGGTCTAAGTACCAGCAGCTGGTGGACACAGACGAGTCTGAGAAGGAGGAGATCCGGCACTCTAAATCCCAGACGGAGGGGCGGAAGGGTTCTGAGGGCAGCCACAGAGACAGGATAGAATCGAGTTCGTCATATGCGGAGGATGACCATTGTGATGGGGTAACTGAGCCGAGGATGAAAGATTTCAGCTATCAGGAGCTTGATGATGAATATGGAAGTCGTCCGGTTGATATTCCTACGCGCAGGAAGGACGTGGAGCATGTGGCTCCACGGGAGGTGAGTGTCCGGAACAGTAAAAATGACATGCGATCAGACAGCTTCCAGTCGGATCGGATAGTTGGACATGAGTATGGTGTGAAGCCACTGCTGGATGATGATGAGCTGCAAGATGCATACGGCAATCAGCATCACTATATGTCAAAACCTGTGACTGAAGATGTAAATGTGAACAATAACAGTAAAATGAACTCATCTCGAGCCTCAGCTTTGAGTCCAGAGGAAGGGCCTGATGATATATTTGGTGCTGCTCCATTTAAGAAGAAAGGGAGTAAGAAGCGCCCTGGGAGTAGCATTGCTTCTGGACCAAGTGCTTCTTCACAAGCCAGTCCAGCTGTTGATGAAGTGTTTGATAATGCTCCCTTCAAATATCGAGGTTCATTGAAGAGCCAAGCCTCTTCTCAGACTGTCAGTCCTGCAGATAGTACTACTCCCAGCTATGCATCTCACTCTGCACAGAGTCCCGAGAATGATGTGTTTGGGAATGCTCCATTCGGAGGAAAGATAACGCCCAGTTCCACAGCTACTGGCCCCTCCTCATGCCCGGTGTCGCCTATAGGTGAGGACCAAATTGTGATAACCCCTGTGGATGCCCTGCCTGGTTCAGGGTATCAAGTCAGGACTGCTTTAGGGGGGAGCTCAGCAGCTCAGAAGATTTCAGGAGTCCGAGAGATTGGGTCACAAGAAATACCGCCATCAAACACAGCTGAGGATCCTTTCGGGGCAGTTCCGTTCCATCGTGCCGTGAGCTCGCATTCTATCCGGAGAGACGAGCAGACCCAGTCTTCTAGTCCAGGGGGGCAGATGTTTGGCTATACAAGCATGTCCAAGTCCGCTGTGATGACCAGCACTCCCATGAAGGGTCAGCACCCAGCCAGTTCCAGCAAGACCATGGGTCAGACCCACTACTCCCCACAAAGACAGAGACCTGACGACCTTTTCTTGGAGGAAGATCAGGCTCTTGTCACAGACAGTGATTATCCTGCTATGTCAAAACATTCCAAAACCAAAGTCAAATCCAAGAAACCTATTCGTGATATTGCGAGTGCAGCATTCTCAAACATGAGTTACAACGATGAAGATGATGAACTTGATATGGACTCACCGTCTCAGGAGCAGATGGGTTTTGCCCAAGATGGCAAGGGACAACCCACTACTTCTAAGTCTGCGCAGAATCTGCATATAGCTAGTATTAGGCACCCAGCTTTTGCAAAGGGTTCCTCTCCCCCAGCTATTACAAACGCCTCCCTGGAAGCAATGAAAGTCTCTTCAGGCGGATTCGATCCAGGGACATGGCCACGGAAACAGCGCAAGTTACCTATCCCTGCTACAGCAGAGCCATTTACTGTCAAGAAGAAATAAGTTATCTCAGTGATAGATCTGTTGGGCAAAAAAAAATGCTTGTGTTTCCTGAAAATAAGTTGTCAAAAACAACTAAACTAAACAAAAATGTTAGGGATCATGCATATTTCGGGGAATTTTTTCCTCAGACCTTATGATCAGTTTTAAAAAAAAATTCCCCAAAACTTTCATGATCCATATCTTCTTCTTTTTTCAATTTATATGAATTTATAAAATGAAGTCACTTGTTCTTCTGACCTATATCTATAAGGGGCATTCAGAGAAACGCAAGTATGAATTTTTTTGGGCCAAATGTAGTGTATTATTTATCGTCTAATTCTCTACCTACGTGCACTAGCCGTATGAGGTAGTTGGTTGTGCTGTATGCAGGATGTTAATTCTCACTCTTACTGCCCATCATAATCATATAGCGTTGAATTTAGGTTGTGTATAACCCAGTTCTTTTGTGATCAGTGTCCTAGTAATCATGTTGAAAGAGACATATTTCGCTGTGGTCAATAATAGCCTTTAGCCTTATAGACTTTATGCTGTTTATGGCTTCGATTTTAACATTGTTATATCTGGTAGCAGAGGGAATAATTGATATTACCATGGCGAAAACCTCATCCATTTACTGGGTATGTCCTGAGAGGTAATTACACTCCAGGCCCCATTCCACAAAGCGATCTTAGCGCTAAGTTGACCGTAACTCACATACTTTAACGAACACTTACGATCATCGTAGCACTAAGATCACTTTGTGTAAAAGGGCCCGGGGCCCAGCTCCACAAAGCGATCGTACTCTACATCTGTCGTAAGTCTGTGTTAAAGTATGGGAGTTACGATCATCTTACCGTGACGATCGCTCTGTGGAAGGCCCTGTACTATTTATTATGTAATATTGTGATAGATTTAATATAATACAGGTATGAATAATATATCTGCAGCTGTGATGTACTTAATGTTTTCACACAAGATGTAGGTAAAATAGAGGTACACCTTGGTGTTAGATTTGACTTTCAAAATTCATTTGTTATGTTCACCTGTGGTTTAATAGAACTGTTTCCTATCTCGATATCTTTATTCCTGATTGTTGAATGACTAGGAATGTTTTAGATGCATAAATGATATATAAATGTTTTACTAATATTTTCATATAGTTTATTTTCTGTTCTTTTTGACTGTTCTTTCGAAATATATTTTGTGGAAATGCTATTTTATTTACGTTTTTGCTCTTCGTGATATTCAAGTGACAAGAGAGGTCTATTTGCACACCAAAACTTGAACATTTTGTACTATCACACTGAGCATTTGTGTGAATAGTATTACAAATAATTGTCTTATCTCCCTTGGCAAGAATGTCCAGCAAAAGCCAATGTCAAGGTCATTATTCAGTTGTCCTTCACAATCTTCTAAAAATCATAGCTTCTTTTCAAAACATCTGCACAATCAGATGATCACAATTAAGAGCTCTAACATTAGACCACACGACAATTGATGTGTGGTGTTATTCACCTGAACATTGTCCAAACAGCAAAACTTTGCTACCGGTACATAATTTGTTATGTCACTTAACTCCTTCTGTATAAAGATCTGGGCCTGTTCCACAAGGCAATATTAGCGCAACGACTGTCATTAGCCTATGTTAAAGTATGGGAGTTACGACAGTGTTAGAATTTGGCACTAGTCCTGTAGTCCTTGCCAAACTGCCCAATAGTTAAAAATTGCCATTTTTAAGGATTTTGCTATATGTTATCATTATAAGGACTAATGGACTAAATCTGTTAGTTTCTATTGCTGTATGATCACCTTAGCGCTAAGATCGCTTTGTGTAATGGGGCCCTGATTGGCTGAACATGAAATGATTATGAATCTTACCTAATTATATGTTGAACGGGACTGTGGTAGAATGTAAAGAATCCTGGTGACAGACTTCATCCTTTTGTATTTAAGGCATATTGATGAAAGCATCTATTCCATTTTTTAAGCTTTAAGACTTGTTTCTTAGTTATGAGGGGACACGGGCTACACCCAACCAAGAAATGTAGAACGTGTTCTATGTCCATGTTTCTGAATGTACTTTGATGTTCATGACCTGTCTGACTACAATGAAAATTATTCTGGGTTCCGTAATCACTGACCAGTCTGGACCACCCTGTAAGTATATTTGTGTATCATGAATGTGTTTATTTCGCCTTTGGTCAAAGAAGTTTTATTCGCCAATCTCTTTATCAGTGGTAGAGGTAAATCAACTAGTCCACTAATCATTTCGGACTAGTGGGATATGTGATGTTATTACATTTGGAAGAAAACTACTAGTCCTTAACACTTTTCACTAGTCTCAGACTAGTGGCTATAGTCTCACCCTGGGTAAAGAATGTGGATGAACTGGATGTTGAAGCGCAGTGTGAGGGGTCTTGCTGTATGTTGATATGACTGTTATTAGCCACTGCCTATGTGAAGGATGGAACTGTTTTAGAGTAGTTTGTTATGTTTGGCTGTAGAAATCTTTGGCTACATCTGCTGCTCAGGAGGCCAGCGTTGTTGAGTTTGTTGAACATTCACAAGTGGTAGAGTCCTCTGCTTCCATTAGAAGCTCGCATCACATGATGGCGTGAGCATGTCTTGGTGTTGACAATTGTCATGTCTATATGGAGCTCGCATCACATGATGGCGTGACCATGTCTTGGTGTTGACAATTGTCATGTCTGTATGGAGCTCGCATCACATGATGGCATGACCATGTCTTGGTGTTGACAATTGTCATGTCTGTATGGAGCTCGCATCACATGATGGCGTGACCATGTCTTGGTGTTGACAATTGTCATGTCTATATGGAGCTCGCATCACATGATGGCGTGACCATGTCTTGGTGTTGACAATTGTCATGTCTGTATGGAGCTCGCATCACATGATGGCGTGACCATCTCTTGGCGTTGACAATTGTCATGTCTGTATGGAGCTCGCATCACATGATGGCGTGACCATGTCTTGGTGTTGACAATTGTCATGTCTGTATGGAGCTCGCATCACATGATGGCGTGACCATGTCTTGGTGTTGACAATTGTCATGTCTGTATGGAGCTCGCATCACATGATGGCGTGACCATGTCTTGGTGTTGACAATTGTCATGTCTGTATGGAGCTCGCATCACATGATGGCGTGACCATGTCTTGGTGTTGACAATTGTCATGTCTGTATGGAGCTCGCATCACATGATGGCATGACCATGTCTTGGTGTTGACAATTGTCATGGTCTATATGGAGCTCGCATCACATGATGGCGTGACCATCTTTTGGTGTTGACAATTGTCATGGTCCATATGGAGCTCACATCACATGATGGCGTGACCATTTCTTGGTGTTGACAATTGTCATGGTCTTTATGGAGCTCGCATCACATGATGGCATGACCATTTCTTGGTGTTGACAATTGTCATGGTCTATATGGAGCTTGCATCACATGATGGCGTGACCATCTCTTGGTGTTGTCAATTGTCATGTCTGTATGGAGCTCGCATCACATGATGGCGTGACCATGTCTTGGTGTTGACAACTGTTGTGATACTTACTAATAGTTCCACAAGGAAAATAATGAATAAGCAAAGAGGAAAGATTGATATACCTGCTCCTAGTGAATGGGTGTCCCAAGCCTAATGATACTTGTTCTGAAATGAAAATAAATGGCTTTGATATGTTGTTCTCAACAATGCTGCATACATCGGCATGCTGTCCTCAGTTACCTGGACAACATAAAAAATGTATAGTCAACAAATCAAATGTGATTATTTCTAAAATCCCTGTGAGCAGGTATCAAAGTATAGTACACCTAATCTTTCAGCACTTCTAGGCTGCAAGTAGCATCCTCTAGGACAGCCTATGGATTTTTTAACCAAAAATACAATTCCAATTTCAAATATATATTTTATTTCATCAAAATGTAAATAAATTTTCCGCAGGTTTTAATAATAGTATTTTAAATAATTTATTTATATTGATAGCGACAGTAAATGATTTTTTTAAACATTTTACTTATTTCTGGTTAGCAAAAAAAACCAAACTGCTTTTCATATGTTTTTATTTTTTCACATTTCAATTTTTGGGAGTCGGTGGATTTGTATTGTAACAAGGTTTAAAAAGAGGTCTGGCCTCACTATCAGTCTTGTCTGTTACACTTGCAGTAGCTGCAGCCAGACAATATCTCTCCCCACAAACATGTTGCATTTAACTGTGTTGGTGCAGCATGCAAACCCATGTTAGGACTCAGATCCATGGCTAATACTCTGATCTGTGATGTACATGTAGTTCCCATCTGTGGTAGATTTACTATTGTATCTCACAAACAATGATTATTAAGAAATTAGATCTTGTAACATCACAATCCTAGCTCTAAATATTAAACTGACCAGATGGGAAGTAAAGTGGGATGCAGACAAAGCCATGAGAATGACACCAGCGTTGATTCCGTGCTAAAATGGGTCCCCAAAAACCTAGGCTTGTCATATGGGGCATCTGAATAGATTAGAGTGAACGAGTATTGTTTTATATCGTTTTTAGAAATATTCCAGAAATGGGCTTCACACATTGTACCCATGTGGAGAATCGAACCCTGGACAAGCGAACGCTTTAACCCCCAGCCTACCCCTCCACCCCGAATAGATTAGATGACTTGGCTGATTGTGTGTCATCATATCCATAAGACATGGATCATTGCTTGTAATATCAATCACTGGATTGTCTGGTCCAGATTGTTTACAGGCCCCTGTCATACAGCTTGAATATTGCTGACTGTGCGCTATATTACTGAAACTCCCAAAACACAACATGAGACTGAAATGGGCAACAACCCTTCAGTAAGCAAGTATGGTTTTACGCCACTTTCAGCAATACATATGCAATATCCTGGCAGGGGACACCAGAAAGGTCATCTCACATTGTACCAATGGGAATCGAACCAGGGCCTTCGGCTTGACAAGTGAACGCTTTCACGTCTAGGCTACCCCAGCTCCTTCATCCTTTGACACCACTTGAACATGATGTCATCGTGCACGTGATATCATTTGAGTGAGTGAGTGAGTTTGGTTTTACACTGCTTTTAGCAATATTTCAGCCATATCACGGTGGGGGACACCAGAAATGGGCTATACACATTGTACCCATGTTGGGAATCGAACCCGGGTCTTCGGCGTGACGCTTTAACCACTAGGCTACCCGACCGCCCCTGATATCATTTGAAGACATGTCTGATCTGACTATGTTTGATTATACTTTCTGCTACAAGTCAGACAGATTAGAGGCCATCATTGATCCATCTGAGTCCCACATATGTATGGTGATAACTGCACAAGAAGACATTGCATGTATATACTTACAATACAATTTGGCAAGTTGCATAGAATGGCAGTTGAAATTGTTATATTATTACCAGTATTGCTTTTTATAAGAACCTGTATCTCCACAGCTCTGAACTGCATTCTTTACTGGCATGTAATGAACAGGTGGCTTGATTGTCTGGTGAATCTGCAGATATCCTCCTGTCTTAGTGCCTCGAGTTTCAACAGGAGTTTAACAAGCCTGCATCTGACAGGACACTGTGATTTGGAGTCTGCATGTCATGGAATATTGTTGTTTGATGAATGACTGAATTCATGTCTGCCGATTGCGTAGTGATATCTAGGTACATAGTGACGCCTTTAACCTTTGCCCTGATCTTAAGCCAGGATGAGTTGGGCAGGAGCCGTCCCTTTTATATTTCGGGGTGGGGTGGGATTTAAAAAACAAAATCAAAACTGTCTGAAAATGCTTTGAAAAATAATAATTCTCCACAAGCCATTCAAAAATAAATAAAGCGTTCACTGGAGATGCGAGATGATCTGATAAATATTATGTTGAGGGTAGAAAAAAATTGTTTTGGCTTCCTTTCTTCACAGAAAAAAATTGTGGGTTTTTAAGCACAGACTCATATACTACACAAAATCAGATAGAAAACTTAGAATTCTTTGATATTACCATAGTTACTGTGTCAGGCTGGCAAATCCCAGATGCCTGAAAATTAAACGGTCGGTCGGTCCCTCCCTCACTCACTCGGAGATCCTGTGATTGATGATTTGTGTAGTAATTTCCTAGGTGCATAGTGGTGCTGCCTCTGAAGCAGTGATTGTACGTGACCTTGTCTGAAGGGTCGTGAAGCCTTTCAGTCAGATAATGAAGCATAAACAAGATGGCAACGAGAACAAGAGGATGGCGAGTGAAGGGTTAAGTAGGCATTAGTGAGTGACGTCAGAAGAATAGGTTTGCGCATGCATTGCCGACAAAGTATTGGATTGTGGGATAGGTAAAGTGTAACCTGATCCATAGTAGAAAAAATGGAGTACGATGTATAAGTGATGTACAGTTCATAATAAAACTGTGACGTTGTAAGATACATAAAAGCACAAGAATGCTGCAGCTAAGGTAGTCGTTGTTTGTGCACAAACTAAAATAATAAATTTAACATTAGCTGACAGAGTTGTGAGGTTGTTGTGAGAGGGATGTGTGATAGTTTGTACTGCCTGCCTATACTAGTCTGCCCATTTGTTTGTTCAGTTCTGTAAACTTTGTGATATTTAGAAGAAATTGAACATGTCATTGGTATGAGACTGTATAATAGACATGTCATGAATTGGTATGATGTCTCCCCTGATAGTGGCAACTCAGTTGATAGGATTTGTGTGCATTTTGATGATATGTTTTTTGACAAGTATGCTTCTTTATTTACCTTGCCATTTGTAATGTTAGCCCGCAATATCCATCAAAATAGTATCTGCCATTCGCCCTATCAGTGTTCCAGCCCTGGCCCCTCTCAACAGAACGATTGTAGCACTACAACTAACGTAAGTCTACCGGTTGCTGTCACCAATTTTCATGGGAGCCTCCATAATCTTTTAACTTTGTTTTTTAAGCATATTTTTAGTAGGAATCATTATCAACAATAGACATGACTACACATTAACGAGTTGTTGACTTGTGTTGATGTGATTATGATAAGGGTATGCTGTTTTATAACCATGAGCCTTGTTCACTCATCCGTCATCCGTCATCCGTCATCCGTATCCATAAGCTGCAAGTATAAGTACATAAATTGCCATGACCTTGTATAATCCCCATGGAACTGAGAATGAAATGTAACTGACACTGAGCCATTGTTCGGAGTAATAATAAATGTAACTCTGTGAGCATGCTTCAGTGAGTGGATTCAGTGCATTGGAAATGTCCATCAGAGCAGACCAAATTAATTACTTGTTTCACAGGAAGTTGTTTTCTAAATGTCTTGATGCAGGGGGGGTGTGAAAGGAGAAAACTTTGTTCAAGGGTTCACAAGTGGCACATTTTCACACTATACCGTTCCAATTCAGTTGATCAAGACAATCGTTATAGAGATTGTAGTTGCCACAAAACTTTCAATTATCATCATGGTGTGTTTCGGGAAGATGGTCGATTGTTCGTTTTTCTTTAAGAACGCTCATCAGCTTATCAAATGTAGAAACTTCAAAAATCGTCTTGTTTTCAATTTTCACAACTCTGACTTTCACATATTTCAAATTAAGAGTTACCAAGATGTGCAAAAAGGTTGAACTGTCAATATTATTCTGCGTGTTGGTGTTTTCTTTAAACCCACGAGCAATTTGTATCCAAACGTTCATGTTTGCTTGTCACCTACAGAGTTATCATCAGTCATGACAATTATAATCCTTTACAAGGTTGAAGGACCTTTCACAGTTGTCAGACAGAAGCATCTTGACATAATGCAAAAACAAAAGGCAAAGTTTTGGCAGTGGGAAACATTCAATATCATTGACTGTTGGTAGAGAATTAGCCAATGGCTATAAGGCTTTCATATTAAGCAGGGGGCACAGGTGGCCTAGTCATCTAAGGCGCCACAATTCACTGTGCAGAGTTGCGTCATGCCAGAAACTTATGATTGTGGGTTCGAATCCCGGTTCGCCCCGATTATGTTTCTAGGTTTGTCAGCACCATACCCGTGCTCGTGGGTTTCACCGAAGTGGAAAACGTCTGAGACCTGCATCACTTCTAACTTTCTTCCCACATTAAGCTGACAAGCAGTAATATAACTGGAATACTGTTAAAAGCGGCACTCATTCATATTTTTATGACAATGAATTGTATTTAGAGTAGCCTCCCTTACTTGAAATACTTGGCCTTATTATTCTACAGTAGTGGATGGTGAACAGGCGGTCTATGGTGGCTGGCAGTCTCGATGTGGCAATGCCAGGACCCATACCTACGCTCATAGGTTTTAATATGGTGGCCTACGACCTACAGTTTCTTCTATGTAGACTGATAGGATTTTAAACTAAATATGCTCATATTTACATTATGCATGGCAATTGATCTTCCTGATTTTCATGTGGTTGTCTTTACTGAGACAGTATTTTAACATACAATCAAACTGATATTTATCCAATCAAATCATCCCTATCTGGTCAGAGGCAAGAATGAACGTAGCTAGTCTTTTTTTGTTGTTTTATTCTGGATTAGAACTGGTCCCTATCAACCTAAGCTTGTCATAAGAGGTGACCAAAATGGATTGGTTTGTCAACAGTGTGCGACATATTGCTCATATAATCAACTTCGTCCCGATTATGGTTCTAGGTTTGTCAGTACCATAACCATGCTCGTGGGTTTTAGCAAAGTGGGCTTTCCTCTCACTTTTAGCTGACACGGTGCGATATAACTGGAATACATTTAAAAGCAGCATTAAACCCAACTCACTCACTCATAATATCAAGCTTTGGTTTGTCTGGCCCGGAATTCATCATTTTACAGGTAAACTTGATATATATTACTCAACAGAAGTTAAGGACCACCCAATTCTTTCATATTACAATAGTTAGTCTGTCATGCCATGACCAGTTATCTATAGTAATATGAAAGAATCGGTTGGTCCATTCTTTTGAGTAATATAGATGTAATATTGCCGACTGTGGCCTAGACAAACAAACAATTTGGGGAGCGGGCTTTATGTTCTGACCATTTTCTATCCTTGCCTAAGGATGTTCCTGAGTGAAAATGAAATGAAAGGTTGTCTTTACTTTTGTATACATTTGTTTCATCATGATGTATCATAGCTCTAAGACAAGTAACCCATTTTTAATTAATGTGCTGAATTCTATTTTTTGTTTGATTTAATATTTACTTTCCAAGTTAACACTTACAGAATCTGAAATGCCACCATTGCCCTGCTGTCCTGGTCAGTGAATGGTACATAGTGGGGGATAGGAATTGCTTGATAAGGAATTGCTGCTGTAGCAGAAAGAGGGAGGAGGGGCATGTGCGTGAATGGCTAATTGCAGACTGTTTGAGCTATGCTGGTTTGCCCACTGTAGCAGAATATGTGTTTGAATGGAGAAATGTAATGGTTTTCAGCTATGCTGGTGTGCCCAATGTTGCAGAATATTTGCATCTTTTAAGAATGTTCAATTTGATCTTTTGAGGTTTTGAATTGCATTGAGTGAACTATTCGTATCATGTAACATGAAACTACCCAGAATGCAGTTTAACAATCTTCTCGTCCGGTGTACCATACATCAACAGTCTGCGTCTTGTGATATGAAAGTGTGTCAAGGTCATATCCAGGGGACAAAAGGTCATTGTGAGAAATTGCAACAGTAAATGTTTCATCAAAGTCAAGATACCCATGGTTGAAGCAGCGAGGCCCAGGGCTCTGTTCCACAACTTGCTTGGCTGTAGTGATGCACATGACAGGGTTTTGGATAAGCAAGGAAGACTAGTTCCTGTGTATGCCAGAGTTTGGGTGTTGTGTGACAAGGTGGCCCTAGGTACGCATGACGATTTTAGGGATGAGGAAGAAAACTCCAGAAACTCCAGCCTGTGCCATCCCGAGTTACGTTGTTGTAACACAGTAGACAGGCAACGTAGTGTGACAACAGTGTGTCAACAGTGAGTGTTTTGGGCGACGTAGTGTGACAACAGTGTGTCAACAGTAACTGTTTTGGGCAACGTAGTGTGACAACAGAAAGTGTTTTGGGCAACGTAGTGTGTCAACAGTAAGTGTTTTGGGCAACATAGTGTGACAACAGTGTGTCAACAGTAAGTGTTTTGGGCAACATAGTGTGACAACAGTGTGTCAACAGTAACTGTTTTGGGCGATGTAGTGTGACAACAGTGTGTCAACAGTAACTGTTTTGGGCAACGTAGTGTGACAACAGAAAGTGTTTTGGGCAACGTAGTGTGTCAACAGTAAGTGTTTTGGGCAACATAGTGTGACAACAGTGTGTCAACAGTAAGTGTTTTGGGCAACATAGTGTGACAACAGTGTGTCAACAGTAAGTGTTTTGGGCAACCTAGTGTGACAACAGTGTGTCAACAGTAAGTGTTTTGGGCAACGTAGTGTGACAACAGTAGCTGAAACGGATCATTCCAGGTTGTATTCCTCCACCATCTCAGGACCGTTCCTAGCATTTCTAAAACATGGTTGTAATATTTATTTGCAAGAATGGTAGCTGTTGGATGAATGATGTGAATACTGTTTTCATGTTTGTTTCTTGCATTGTTTTTTACCTGTGTAATGTATAATTTATTCACCTGTTTCATCTGCGCACTGCACGGTTATTTTGCTGTAGCTCTCACTCACAACTGTTACCATAAACATGGTCCTCAGATAACAAATAGAGACAATGTATATAATCTAGGCATGGTGTGGTCTAAGATGACACATATATCAGAGTCCTTGAGCTTGCACTTGATAGTTTGTGACACCTCAGGAGTGAGTATGGTTTTACGCCGTTTTTAGCAATATTCCAGCAATTTCACGGCGGGGGACACCAGAAATGGGCTTCAAACATTGTACCCATGTCGGGAATCGAACCCGGGTATTCGGCGTGACGAGCAAACGCTTTAACCACTTGGCTACCCGACCGCCCCTGACACCTCAGGAGGCTTGATGGACTTAGAGTTTCATCGGTCATCTGGGGACTGAAAATACTGGAAAGAGATTGTTTGCCTGTTCTTTAGCTCCACCTTTTAGATATTTTTTTTTAAGCAGTGACCCAAAACATATCCTGTCTCAAATATGCTACTCAAAATAAGTTAAAAAACAACCAATTTTCATATGACTGTAGATCAACTATAGTCATATGAAAAAGAAAATGGGTACTCTTTGACTTATTTTGAGTTGTGTATGTTAAATGGTCATTCCCTTAGATGGTGGATTTACTGTCCAGAGTTGCAATGACTTCCACAATGTTAGTAATCGGTTTAGTTTCTCTTGGAATGATATGAATATACTGTATATGTCTGAAGACATCCTGTGAAAAGAACTTGAACTTATGTAAATTAGAAATTGAAGATTCATGTACTGCAAGAAATCACTAGTCAGCTGCACACTCTGATCTTTGGCTGGTTCTTCCGACGGCTTGGGTTGTCATGAAGATATTTTCTGTGCTGCTATTTGGTCATTGTGAATGGAATATAATTATTAAGCTTCAGTGTCATGCAATGTTTTGTTCCAAACAGGTCAGAATTGTTTAATTATATGCAAACATAATAAAAACATGTGCCATTATTTACCATGCACTTGTGTCCTGAGGAAACCAGGGGTGTGATATAGATTTAATGTTATTTATGTATCTCTAATGTCCTCATGTTACTCAAAAGAAGTACAAGAACACCAGATCAAATTATTATGGTTTCTCTTTCATGGCCATGACAGATTACCCACAGTCATATGAAAACACTTGGTTGATACATGTCATCGATCCCAATTGCATGGGTCGATGCTCATGATGTCAATCACTGGATTGTCTGGTCCAGACTCGATTATTTTACAGACCTCCGTCATATAGCTGGAATATTGCTGAGCGCGGCTTTAAACAACAAACAAACATATGAAAACATCACGTGTTCTTCTGCTTCTTTTGAATAGTATACATGCTACCGTAACTTGTACATGATTCTATAGTTGAATGTGCTGTTCGAAATCGGGCACTACTGAATGCACAGGATTATGTGGGGAAGGCAGTCCACATGTGAGCTTCATTCTGATATCATGGCTTCATAAGGGACCAGTCATTTATTGGGGGGTCGGAGGGAATCAGGGGAGGTTCACCAATAAATGACAGTCTCTAGGGGAGGGTCCTCCAAAAATAGGACAAGCATTTTAAGAGAGGAGGGTCATTGTTTTCAGTACTTTAGTTCATCAAAAACCTCTGGACACACTCCACGCCTGTAATAAATGACTGGTCCCTAAGCTTGAAAGACATGCCCACATGATAGTATGTATTGGTCAACCCTAGAATGTTGAGTTGGTGATCTGATAATGCTTGTTTTCCCCGTGATTGTTAACATGGAGAGAATATATATATCCAGATGTATTAACAGACGAAGGAATCAGCCATGGTGAATGGGGATAATGTTTGCTCTTCTTCTTGTTCCACACTGTACTGTTGTTATGTAGCAAGGAGCTGCAATGGTTTTCTACGGACTAGTGAGACTGTTGTACGGATCATGTATTTTAGTAGCTGCAGTATCTTATGACTGCTCTTGGCTTGTGGCTGAAGTATGGCGAGACGGGGCGAAGTTTTAGTGACAATGGCTGTATATTCCAATAACATGACTGTTGCTCGCTGCAGTGATATGGTCAACACATAAGCTTGTCTTGGTACTTATACTGACAATTGATTCCCGACATGGGTACAATGTGTGCCGCCCATTTCTGGTATCCCCCGCCGTGATATTGCTGGAATATTGCTAAAAGCGGCGTAAAATCACTCACTCACTACTTATACTGACATGTTCCCTGTGACATGGAGCGTGACTGGTGCTTGTTGCTCTGTGAGTTGCAGCGAGATGTGTCCGTGAAAGAACACTGACACACATTCATTCTGCCATGTCAGGGAACAAACAATCTCATTCAAATCAGATCTTAGTGCTTACTACACAGAGATCTAAAGACATCAGAATTACCTTACATCCAACCAATCCGAGTGT